CTACACAAAAGCCTGGGAACATTACAATTGAGTAGAAATACATACATCACACTACAGAAGGCCACTATATTGAATACATGCCATATTGTTAGGAAATTCCTTAATACAGACACTGACACACACATTTAATTTTAGTTTTGTTTTGGTTGCTATGCCTTGACTCTGGTCCGGCATAGTACACAGCCACCGGTGTGTACCGAGTATAACCCACTAAACCCAACACATAATAATAATAATAATAATTTGTTGTAGGATTTCATATAAGTTGGAAGTAATTCACAGAAATTTTTTAAAGCAGAAAAATTAAAAGAAGCTATTATTGTTAATTAATTAAAAAAAAAACTGATATGGTTGATCTTATCTATAAAATGTTAGAATTTATACAGGATCCATTCAAAATGTTTGTTCATTATATAAAGTAATATCTTTAAAAGTTATTTGATATTGTCCTGTTTTTAAAGTTACAGTGATATATCTGTTAATTTGATAAAATTTAATAAAATTATTGCTGATTTAAACTTTAATATTGGTATTATACAGTCAGAGACTTTAATGCCAGAATTGGAATTATATTGGATTCTGTATATAGCAAACAAAATGAACTTTATGTTAATCATAAATGTTCTAAAAATAAAACTGTTAATCAAAGACAAAGAACTGTAAAAATGATATATTTATTTTCAATAGTTGTTTTTAAATTTAGTAATGACAAATATTACAATTATTAAATTTACAAAAATATAAAATTGAAAAATACTATTATTTTCTAACTGATGAGAAGGAGGAAAAATCATTATGTTTCCCAATGGACAGAGTAAAAAACACAGAAGAAAATCTGTTAATCAACACTTCAATAACTTATAATGGAATAGTTTCAAGATTTGCATAGGATAAAATAATAATTTAAAGATACTTGTTCTAACTTTTAATTGAACTGACTTTGACAGATTAGTTTATTTCCTATTAAAAATCACTTATTTATAAATCATTTTAATTAAAAAAAATAACATATCATAATTGGAATTTAAGATGGAATTCAAACTGGAATTATTTTGAATATTTATGAATTGGAATCTGAATCAATTTTTAAAAATATTTTGTGTCTTCATATATTAATTTTCATTTGATGACAATTATTTCTAAAATTTCATTTCATTTTCATAAATATTTTGTTCTAAAAGTAAATTCTGAAATGATTTATACCAGGGCTTCTTAAACTTTTTTTATTCATGACCCCATTTATGATTGTGATTTTTTTCACAACCCAAAAAATATAAAATAAAGATATATACAAATTTGCAAAAACAATAATGGTGTACTACCATAGTTCACTCTTATGTTACAATGGAACAGAGACAACTGAATACACTGAAAAGCGACAACACTACACTAGTTCATACTACAATCAGTGTTGCTGAATCATTGTCTCACTGCACCAGAAGTGACACAAAGCGCAACTCACGAAACCTATGACACAAAGCATGCCATTTTCAAACTCTCACAAATTATTTTCAATATTTTGCATTAAAATCTCGCGACCCCAAGATTTCGCTAAGCGACCCCAAATGGGGTTGCGACCCATAGTTTAAGAAGCCCTGATTTATACAGTAAATCTGATAAAGAGCATATTTGGCTGCAATTTGAAAAAATTGTAGACCTATAAATTCCCACTATTGTTTGTCTGTCTGTCATTTTCAAGATTAAGATCTTGAGAATGAAGTTAAATAGATGAAAGTTGAGACCGAATATGGAAAGCATAGGGGCAGAAGGCCCTGATTAACTATATATGAATTTACGATTTGCAACGGAAGTCATGTTATTTCACTTCAAAAATTTTCCCTTTAGAAGTTGGATGGATGTCTGGCATAACTATTTCTAACAGGAAAGTATGATGTACAGAACAATACACTACCAATTTGAGGTGGAGAGCATATATTTGAAATTAAATAAGTAAAAAATATAATTAAAAGTTGAAACCTGGTATTGGGACAATGTCACAATAAATACAGTAGAGCGTCGTTTATCTGAATCAATTGGAGACTGGGGTTGTTCGGATAACTTATTTTTCGGATAACTGATTATGTACGAAAAAATACATTAACCTATCCCATGTTGAAATTTTTCTCCGTTGCGTGTTACTTCGCATTGAATTTTCGTCAATGTTAAGCCAAATGTAAACTTTTTAAAATAATAATCGTGGCTGTTGAACCATTAAAAATTATTTCTTTATTTTGTACAAACAAAATAAATATATTGAAAACTATAAAAATTGAAAAAAATATACTTTAGAAGTTGATCTAGTACAGGGGTGGCCAAAACATGGCGCATTGGACGATTACAAGTGGCGCTTCAGTTAGTTCTGAGCAAAATTGCCAGATTTGGCTTTTTTGCAATTAAGAATATTATATAGAAAAATAAATTTTTTATAGTCTGTCTTGGCAAGTTCATTTGTTGCACAATTCATTACGGTCTATTTTGCAGATAAAATGAGTATTCTCCACATAGTAAATTACAATGTATGCATGTATTTTGAGTCTTGCGATCTTTATTTCCGATCAGTTTACAGGCGTGTAAATGGCCGAAAACATTTATTGTGATTAAAGTTATTCCAAGCTGATCTCGTTCTCAGTGCCAATAATTGTGGTGCAGAGTAATCTTCACCAAATGAGACTCTGGCAGCAATAGCACCTTCATGAAGCAATCACCCTCTCGTATAGGAGATCATTGTTGACTATTGTAAATTGGTGCTTCAATAAACTGTCATAAATTAATTAATTCAACTGCATGATTAAGTTATTCCCTTTTCTTTCCTAAGCGAAGCAGATTTATTCTTATCTCTATTTATCAACCCCTAACATTGAACGTAAGACTGTATAAAAAGTGTTTGAGTTATATAGCGCATTTGAACTTGTCTGTCAAAAAATTGGCGCATGGTATGCAAAAGGTTGGCCACCCCTGATCTAGTATCAAAAACGTTCGATTCAGTACCACACACAGTCCTCAGAAAAACACAACACAAAAGTTCCAGTGCTGCCAGCTAAAACACACACACCAACAAAAAAAATATTGGAGTAGTCCAAGATATAGCCAAAGATTGCAGCACCACAGCACTAGCAAAAATTTAAATTTGCCAACTGGAATTCTTTTGGATGAACGACGTTTCAGATAACTGATTTTCGGATAAACGACGCTCTACTGTAATTGCTTGTTTTAATTAAAATAGTTAATTCTTTAGCTTAATGCTGTTAAGAGAAAATATTTTTCTAATTTATCATTTACTCACTGATACTATTCATGATATTAATGTTTTGTTTTAACAATATAAATATATTTTGATATATAAAACTAAAAATGACGAATGAACTTTTATTTCAGGGGAAGCTATGAAAAAGTCTGGTGTTGTTTTTAGTCATGTTTATTGTTCACCATCTCTCAGATGTATTGAAACTTGCACAGCTATATTGAAAGGTGAAGTTGAAGATAATATTTTCATAAAGTGTAAAAGTATTAATAAAATAATTAAAGATATTTCTATCAACAGCAATAATCCAAACTTATAACAAAAACAAAATTTTTTAAAATTAACATTACTTATTTTCAAGTAACTTGACATAATCTTCATATTTATATTTGATGTTTTATAAGTTATATTTGAAAATTTTATTTAATTAACTTTGAGAATAAAACTTTCAACTTTGTAATGAGAGGCCATTATTTTTAAAATATTTTTTTGTCTGTTGCAATTGCTTGTATTATGATTCATATAAATTTAAACATATTTTGATTGAGTATTTTTATGTAAAGCCAAGCTAGTGTTACAATGTAATCTAGAAAAAACATTGACAGAAACATTCAAAGTAATCTTTCTGTTAATGTTTTATCGTCATCTCAGATTACATAGAATATATAAATAATTAAGCAATAGAATTAATTTTTATTTTATTTTTTTAATGAGAAAAATGATTGATAGTTTTAAAGCTTTTAATATTTAAATACATGTATCATTAAAAATGTAACTTTATATTTAAAAGTTAATTAAAAATTATAACATCAAATATAAATATATTATTATTTCAAATTATTAAAAACATCCAGTTATTTAAAATATTTATTATACATGGGCTCTATATATATATTATAATTATATGTTATACAATTTCAATTACTCAAATTTTTCATTTCACATATTTTTATATACAATAAATGTTCTTTTATAGTTAATAAAAGATATTTTATCCATGATTATATTATTTCACTTTTTACTGTAGTTTCCAAATCAATAAAAAAAAATGCTAGTTTATCAAAATTTTAAAATGTTATATTAATTTAAAGTCTAAAGCAATCTAAAATGATTAGTGTTGATGTTTAAAACTGTGAATACTAGCATGCTTTATAGTCAGAATAATAGTTTTATAAAATATAGTATATAATATAATTATTATGTTTTTATTTTTAATATACAATGCTATTATCTTTGCTAAAATATATATATATACAGTGAAATATCAAAAATCAGAATTAATTGGTGCTGGATTTTCAAATTCAGGCTCTACAGTTAGATACAAAGCACTGAATAATATTTGTTTTGAATCTTTTTATATACAAATATTGGTAATAAAATATTTTCTATTTTGAAAATGTGGAGATGATTAGTTAGAATACTCAGTTGTTAATCTTAAATAATGTTGTAAATAAATTCATTCTAAATAATAAACTTCCTGAAGCCCAATACATTGATACTCAACCAAACGATTGTTGTAATTAATTACTTAATATCTAATCATTAATAATAGCAAATTTATAGCCCAATTAATTACAGCAATTGTTTGGTTAAATTCATTGGAAAATTATAAAATGTTCTGTTCTTTAATATTTTCTTGTTTCAAATTATTAGGTTACTTTTAGAAAATTTTTTAAAAATTTAAAAATTTAATATATATATTTTTTTATTATATAATGGTTTATTTTATTCAGCTTCAGGAAATTATCATACGCTTATTAATGTGGAACCTGGATTATTTGAATGGTTAGCTTGGTATCATGATGGAATGCCTAAATGGATGACTTTACAAGAGTTAAAAAGTTATGGATTTAATATTTGTATGGACTATAAACCAGTTATAACAGTTGATGAACTGCAAGGTAAACTTGAACCTAGTGAACAATATTACATGAGAAGTTTATGTACAACTGAAACAATTTTAAAAAGAACAGGTGCTGCAGGTAGAAACTAAATTTTTTGTTTATTACTAAAATGTTTTGAAAATAACAATATAATGAAATATAATAGCAAATTATTATTTTATTTCATTATAAAGTGGTAATAATTTTAAATTAAATCCATTTCTGAATGAAATGGATTTAATTGTTTGATTTAATGAAATGGATTTAATGTTATATACATTCAATATTTTTAATCTTTGTTAGTCTTTGTCTAAAAAAATTTATTTCTTACAGTATGTGTAGTTTTTAGATTTCTGTATAGAATATGACAGGCTAAGTTAGTGAATCAACTTTTTCATTTTTTAATTTAAGAAATTCACATAATCAAATATCTAGTAACTGCTTAACATTATACATCATTAATATTTTCTAAGTAATTTCATGCAGCATAATTTTAGTTTACTAAAACTAAAACTTGCTTTTAGTCACTCAAATGTATATGGGTCTGAAAGTGAGACTCTTGTATTAGCGTTGGTTCATCATGAAGCAAGCTGCTATTATTGGAAAGTGTTAGTTTGCTAGTTTTGCACATGCTGAAACAAGTTGACTGACATGGTTTGTCCAACCAAATATTGCACTGTATTATACTAACTCAAAATGGTTTCAAGAGTAAGCTGTATGTTGTTATATGGGATTAGTTTGTTGCACAACAATGCACACCTGCATGTAGCAACAATGTGCCAAGATTTTGCTGTGGTGCTTCTGCTGGGAGGTCTGATTGTTCCTTCAATAGTCCAACCTGTCACTCTACAATTACATCTTCAGGTCATTGAAAAAAGCTTTCAAGGGCCACCAGTTTGCTAATGATGCTGATGTCTAAGATACTGTTGAAGATTGGTTCTGCAGCCAACCATGGACACTTTACTCAGGTATCCAAAATCTAGTAATGCACTGGAACATTTGCTTGAACCAAAAAAGTGACTATATATAACAGATATGTAGTCCATGTATTACTATTACTTTCTGTATGTTCAAATATTCCAACCAATAAACCATTACAGAAAATACAAAAATCTCACTTTCATTTGGGTGACCCTTATAGTTATAGTACTAAAACTGAAACTACACATATTTAATCCTTATTTTGGAATATAGTCTAAGTGGGACACACAAAGCTAAATTCAAAGATGATTATTATTTTATGTTTATGAAAATCATGTATCAAATGATTCCGTTTATGAATCCACTTCTTTTTCTTTGAATAATAGTAAAAGTAAAATATCAGAAAAACCACTGTCCCATAGCACATTCTGAATATCACCTTGAAGGCCATACAACCAGGGCTGTGGAGTCAGGAGGAATTTCTGGCCAGAGGAGTCAGAGTCAGAAAAATGTGTCGACTCTGACCCTGGCATTTTAAATTTAATTTAGTTTTTTTTATTTAAATGAAAGAAAATTTCTTTTATATTTAATAATTTTTAAAAATGCTTTTGTATTTTGTTATAATTCATTTATTTTAAATACAAAATGCAACAATTTAATTTATTAAATATGTATCAATAGTTTTCTTTGTAGTATTTGTCTTTAGTAGTTAAATTATTTTGACTCAATTGAATTTGAATATTTTTGATTCATTCCTTTATTATCTCTGCTCTAAATAAGTACTCTAATTTTTTGAATAAGCCAGACTAATTGATCAAAGTATATATATATTTTTTTTGAATAAGGACTGAAGTAGCTAGATCATACACTTTTTAGTTGGACTAACTTTTCTGGAAAGGTGAAATTGAAATGCAAAAGCTGTAGAATAAAGATATGTAGATGTAAAATTTTATCACTCCCCCTTTATCCTCTTATTAAATATTTGTTAAAAATTAATTTTTTTATACAAATAAATATTAGTGTAAGTTAAATATTAAAAATACTAACTATAAAAGTATTTGGGTAAATGCCCAGGACTCCTTTTAGAGTTCAGAGTAGTATGAGTACCTCTGCCTCCCATAAAATGACTTGGTATTAAATTTTGCCGGCGTCAGAGTCATCTACTAAAATTATCAGGAGTCGGATTCGAGTGTTTTTTTACTGACTCCGCAGCCCAGCATACAATTATAGCATAACTTTCTTTGTGGTCACCCAAAGCAGTATCTGTAATAAATATAGTGTTCCTATTACAACAGTGTGTGGCTCAGACTTTATGGTCATTTGAAAGGAATTTGTGGGCTTTTACAAATTTTTCTATAAAATATGATGGAATGGGTTTTATAGGAAAGTATTTAAATAAAAACATAAATTTCTCAAAAAAAGTTAAAAGATGATGGAATTGGACAACACCACAAATCCAACTACAAATGCACCTATAAAGGCCTCATACAGAAATGATGCTGCCACAAACAAATAAATAAACTTACAAAATTGCCATTTTATTTGTAAGATTTAAAAAATAGAATTAATTTAAAAAATTAGTCATGTACACAACTTAAATTAATCTCCTGATTCAAATATTTTGAAAATATACTGATACTATTTATTAAATATTTCTGAATGATAATTTAAATTGATGATTCTTGTTTTTGAATAATTATAACCTAGCATTTATATATATTGCTTCAGGCTTTAGTTATTTATATAATAATTTATTAACTACTTAGCTTATAAGGCTAAAATATATTTTTATTTAATTCAAACACTTATTTGCTGGGAGACTATTTGTATGATGTGTAGTTTTAATCTAAAATATATTTTCAAATAATTTTGGTTTTTTTTTAATTGGATTCCAATAATATGTGTATAATACAGTAGAATGGGCAGCTTATGTACAGTTAGATTTTAATATTTAAGATTTTTATTTTTTTATGATTCTGAAAATTTGTTTTAAGTTTCAAATTACTAAAATATAAAAGATGAGCTAGTATTTTAAGAAAATTAATGAAAATTGAAAATATAATAATAAATTTATACTTTGTTATTAGGAAAAACCATTTTATTAGTTGGACATGCTGCAACTTTAGATACATGCACACGTCAGCTTGTGGGAAATCCTCCTAGAAATGGACAAGAACTACAAAGTCTTGTTTATCATATTCCTTATTGTAGTGTTGCTATGGCAGAAGAAGAAGATGGTAAATGGAAATTAGCAGAACCACCTTTCCCATCTTTAATGCATTCAAATAATGCTAGATTTGATTGGACTTGTTTATTATCTTGATTCCAAAATATGGTATTTACATTGCTTTAATCAAACAAAAATTCTTTTGTGCTCATTATACACAAGTAAATGTTGAAAATTATGTCATTAGATATCAATATTGATTTCAAATAACTGATTATTATAAATGATAAATAATCAGTTAAACTATTAAACATATATTATTATTATTATTATATAAAGCATTTTATTAAAGAATATCTTTAATAACTTTTATTATATAGATTTAAATTTTTATCTGATGATGATTTAAGCAAAAATGCTTTTAAGAATATAAGCATTTTAGAAATAAAGATATTCTTATTCACTAAAGTTGTCTTTAAATAAATCTTTGATACTAAATAAATAAAATGTGATTAAAAAAAACCATTAAAACTTAATTTGAATCAAAGGAAATTAGTTAAATTATTCTTTATAGATTATATTGAAGAGCAATTGCATTTTCAGAAAAAAATATTTTTTTTTATTAATAATAATTATGAAAATATAGTTATTGTTCTTTAATGAATTCATATATAATAATAATATATATATATTCTAGAATTTCTTCTCATTTATTTTACTTAAATAGTAAAATAATTAGTATTGAATTGCATATTATAATTTTTATTGCATTGTAATTAGTCTTGAATTGTCCATTCTGAAGCAGTTTATTTCACAAGTTTGAAAATATTATGTCCCACTAATGGATAAATAGTATTAATGAGATATAAAAGGGAGATAATTTATTACCTATAATTTATTGTGACTTAAATGTAAATGATGATTAGATGTTGAATAATTTAAACTGGGACAATTACATGTAAGAAAGAAAATGGATATAATGACATTATACATAATAAAAATTTATTATAAAAGAGTTTTCATCATTTATTTCCATGCTGTTCATTTTTAAAAAATCTGATTAATTAGTATTTAATGTTGTTGCATGTTTGTACTTGACTTTAGTCTAGTTGCATAAATTAATTGCTAGTTTTGAGTATTATAAGTGTTGTGATTTATTAATATTAAACGTTTTGTGGATTATATGATCTAAATAACTGACATTGTTTCTCAGATTATACAAACTATAAAATTTTCATTTAAATCAAATTATTGAAAATAATGTAGATCAGGGGTCGCCAAAGTGGTCGATATCGACTCCCAGGGGTCGATATAACATTATTGGGGTCGATTATCAAGCTTAAGCTAAGGATAAGGGGGAGCTAAGGATCAAGCTTATCTGTCTCACTGATTATCAGTTACGAAAATTATTAACAAATATATAATAAATGAAAAAAAAAATGCAAAATTAAAAGAAATATATTAAAATAGTAAGTATTTTGTTTTGCTTGTAACATAAACTTTTTGGGGGAGTCGATGTGAGGTTTCGAAAACTTGTAAGGGGTTGATGATCAAAAAAGTTTGGCAACCCTAGATGTAGATGATTATTCTCACAATTTACATCGACTATTATCTTATGCAATCCAGCACATCAATAAAAGTTAGATAAATAAAATACATTAATTTTTTAATATTTCATTTATATTTGAATTTTAAATATGCTTTATAACAGTAAAATTCTGTCTTGGGTAATAAAAATAACTTTTTTTTTCTTTGTTCCAAGAAAATTAATTTTTAAAAATTTATATTTTTAAGAAAAAAATTGTCCTGTCCTTCTGTTTTTGTAAATTAGTTAATTGATATTAAATAGGAGTAAATCATTATTTTCATTAATTATTTTGATTATTACCAAATATTTCAAGTTATTAAAAACCAAATATTTGGAGAAATGTTATCAAATAAACAAGTTTAATTTTAGAATAATTTGCTGATATAGAGAAATAGTTGTTGTCATTTGAGGAGTAAATGATTATTAATTAATGCTTGATGGTAAAGTGAATGAAAAAATTACTTAGCTTAGACAAAAAGTGAACCTTTAGCTCATGCATATTAGCAGGTACATTCTAGATATATTGCTTTTTCATTTGGTCAGTTTTTTTAAAGAATTAAATTTTGACATGAATATGCAAAGATCATGGGGCTGTCCATTAATTATGTGTACAGTTTTCAGCTAGTTCTGACCTCCTCCTTCCTGTTGTGTTTAATGCAGAGCTGTGGAGTCGCATAAAAATCTACCGACTCCGACTCTGACTCCGACTAGGGGCGGATTTGTTTCCAAAAGAGACCCGGAAATTCTGATGTCATTACGTGACCTCAGAATAAAAGATCCAATAAATAGAGTTCTAATAAAGATAGAGCGTAGAAACTTTTTATTCCAAAGCTAAAAGACTTCTCTAAGTAATATATAAATATGTATTCGATAATTTTTACTTTTCTGGCTGTTATATATAACAGTGGAAAAGTGTAGCGCTCGGTCAAAAAATGACCCCTTCCAAATTTTTACATTTTTGGACTCAAGACACCGTAAAATTTTGAGATATGCAAAAGATTCGAGGTGTTTTCTATGTACTGTAATTAAATTTCAGATAAAGCTGGATTCATACAATGATTCACTCTAGCATAGAAACTACTACAAAATCATAGAATTGGTAGTCTGAAATCTTACAATCTATTTCATCACAAATTGGTGTTTTCTATATGTGTGGATGTTAAACTGTGTGGGGGCAGTGGTGTAGCGTGGGCGTCAGCTGCCTGGGGCAGAGGAAAATTTCATCGCCCCCTTATTTAGGTATCTCAATTTAAAAGACTAAAATTCAGTTTTGTCACAGAATAAGTAATGAAAAATTCCGTGCTAGTGTTGCCACCTTTTTAAAATCGCTGACCCAGACGGCAGGCGAGGTTTGTTTGAACAGAAGTTCCTGACACATGCGCAATGTCATTTTGCAATGAGAAGAATAACGTGCAGTTCATGCCAATTCTAAATCAGTTACAGTTAGTGATTAGGGAGACTTGGATAGGAGTAATGCAAGTGACCTAGCTCTATTGGATATTGGAGATGTATGTGATTATGAATGAATCGTACAAGCAAAAAAATAAAAAAAAAAAAAAGGTCGACAGGTTGCGCACGATACCCCCGGACGGCGAGTCGGATGGTAACACTATTCCATGCTTATTTCAATCGGTCCGAATCGTAGGTGGACAAAAATATGAAATAAAATGGTTCAAATTCTTACAAGATATTATTATTATTTATTGTGAAATTTTGCCGCTCCCTAAAACGTAATTTTTCTGCCCCCTAAAAAGTGCCGCTCTGCCGCCCCCCTTCACTACGCTACTGGTGGGGGGGCATGATTTTGTTCATTCTGTTTGAAGCCTAATAATTTCTGTGGTCAGAGTGGTCAGAATCGGAGTCAGATGGTTTAACACAGGAGTTAGTTATTAAGCATTAAAGTGGTTGAACTAAATCGTGTCCCCATATACATTCTAACATCTTAGGTGAGAACATCTTAACGGGTTTTACTGTACTATTATAAAATAGCTAAAAAGTTTACATTGAGGGTAGAGACAAGCTTTATTTTATTGTTTTTTAATTTTGAACGCTAATAACGAGTAAAATATTCATTAAGAAATATGACACATGACCACTTTTATGTCTTCACCCTGTCAACCTTTCATTAAGAACCAAAATTTAATAGTATTAATGCCCCTTTATACGCAAGCTACAGTGCCGCATTTTGTTTCTTAAAGTTTACCCATTCTGAGATATTGTTTAATATCTCAGAACAGAAAATAAAGAAATTAAACAAATTAGATGCCAACACACACACGCATGCGAATTTTTCCCCTTTACTGACTTTTTTGAGGGGGTTTGGGAGGTCCCCAAATGCGTAGATTTGCAAAAAAAACTTGGAGGGTCAAATTTGACAGGTTTCCAATACTTTTCCGTTTTATATACATAACAAGTTGGTAAGTAAAAAGGAGTCGGCGTCGGCAGATTTTTGACGACTCCGACTCTGACTCCACAGCCCTGGTATAATGTAATCATTGTAATGTATAGTACTTTTGGCAAACTCCTTCCCCCTTTAATTACATATAATAGTTAATGGACCTCTGTGACATTGAAGAAATTACTTTAAAAAGTTCTGAAAATATTTTCTGACTGATAACTTATTCACATGACTAATAAATAGGCTTATAAAAACAAGTTTGCTACTAATACCACTAAAAAGTTCACGAAGACAATGCCTTGCACTCCTCTCCATCTCATATGATGATGTACCCTTCATTCCCTCAAACTGTACACATAATTAATGGATGGCCTCTTACTAATGTAGTAATTATAGTAACAAATATTTCTTACAGAAATAACATGGCATAAATTATAGAAATATGCTGTTACTCAGTCTTCACATTCTTAAAAATTATTTGGGTATTTAGTACAGATTTAAAATAAGATGACAATACATTAGTTTTCTGTAGCATATCATTCAGATCATTTAATATTTTTATTTTAGCAAAGATTTCTATAATCAAATATAACAAATTTGGTTTTGATAGTATTAGTTTAATTATGATTGTGTTGTTGCAGTATTATAATATATTTTAAATTACAGTAGAGCATCGATTATCTGAATACCAATCAACCAAAACATTGGTTAACCGAAAGCGTTTCAGTCAGCAAATTCAAATTTCCACTAGGGCTGTGATGTTGCAGCACTCTTCCCCTCCCTGCCAAACTGAACTGTAGACCTAGTTTAATGTATTACATTATGTAAGGTGTGCATTTGTAAGACGTGTGATACAAATTATATACAGTACAGTTTTGTGTTTAATATATTTTTTTGTAAATGATCAGTTATCTGAACAACCCCAGTCCTGAATTGTTTTGGATAATCGATGCTCTACTGCAGGGGTGGCCAAAACGTGGCGCATTGGACGATTACAAATGGCGCTTCAGTTAGTTCTGAGCAAAATTGCCAGATTTGGCTTTTTTGCAATTAAGAATATTATATAGAAAAATAAATTTTTTATAGTCTGTCTTGGCAAGTTCATTTGTTGCACAATTCGTTACGGTCTATTTTGCAGATAAAATGAGTATTCTCCACATAGTAAATTACAATGTATGCATG